CGGGTGTGGACGCGGCCGCTGCTGCCCCCGGCGGCCGGCCCGGGGAGCGACCCGCCTGCACGGTCCGCGGGGCGGGCGGGAGCGCTGAGTCAGCGGCTTGCGGTGGGATCCGCGCACCAGGCAGGGGCTGCAGGCAGATGAACCCCAGGCCGCCGGGTGGAGCGGACGCAAAGCGGGCAGCGTTCTTCCCTCTGTGGCCCCCAGGCCGTACGGACACACTGACACTACATCGCCGGGGCGCTGTGACTCATTTGCCCGGTGGGCCTGGTGACCCGGACAGCATGGGGCAGGCCCTTGGGTGTGGCCGCGCCCTGCATCTGACTGGCACCACCTGGAACACTTTTTTATTTATTTTATTTTATTTTATTTTTTTAAATTTATTTATGTGTGTGTGTGTGTGTGTGTGTGTGGCCAGCTCAGCTCACCAGGGGGCAGGGCTGGCCTGCATGCGGTGCTGGGGATCGCACCGCGGTTCGCCAAGCTTGTTCCAAGTAGGCGCTTTAGACTACTGAGCCATCTCACCAGCCCCTGGAACACTTTTTTAAATTGTCGCAGCAGGGGGATGTGTTCTCGAACTGGCACTCTTGGGCCGGAGACACAAATGCTGCTGCTGAAGCGAGCCTGGCTAGAACCCCTTTTCTCTCTGTCAGCCTCTGACTGTTTTGGGTTACTTAGTAACTCAGTAGCTGGCAACCACAGCACTCTTGGGAGCTTTTCGTGCAGGTGTGCAGGGTGAATTCTGACCTTGGCGAAGCCAGTTCTGGCCACTTACACATCTCCCTGTACTCTACCCCACGCGCATGCGTGCTTCTTTGACTTCTGCTTTGAACCGGTTAAACTGTCTGCCTGGTTACATGGTTTTATTGCGACAAAATCCTTAAAATGCATTCATTCTGTGTTAGCATGAGAATCCCACGTCTTTGCTTGTCACGAGTGTCGTGTCTGGCTTGCCCACCTGCTGCCCACTTGCCAATCTGCTCTCTGGCTCTTTCTTACCTGTCCCCGGATCTGCTGTCCCTAGCTGAGCCTGCAAGGGGCAGTGGACGCCCCCTTGCCTAGCTGCCCCTGGGAACAGTGGGAATCAGCCGGGCCTCCCTCCTCCCGAGATGCCCTGACCCCAGTGCACTCCTCCTGGCCGTGCCAGACACCGGACAAAACCCTTCTGTGTGCCTCAGGGTGCTTTTGAATCCTGAGCTGGGAACCTTCTCCCCGTCATGGTGGTGTCTCCTTCCAACGAAAGATTTGCTATCTAAATTGGATTGTGTTTTTATTTGGTGTCCTCTGTCCCTGTTTGCAGCTCTGACTCACTGTGTGGTGGGCAGGCCAGGGCTGCCCTGGGCCCCTCTCCCACACCTTGGGGTTGGCCATGGCAGCAGCCATTTCCAGCTCATGGCTTCCTGGTGCAAGGCTTTGCTGCCCCAGATCGAGAAAGCGGAGTAGATAACCTCTCTCGGGAGCTGTGCACTTGCTCCGCTGTCTGATTTCCACCGGTCCCACCCCAGTTTCTCCCTGGTCCCGGCTCTGGGTGGACGCTGGTCCTCTGCCCAGTGGGATGGAGCTCAGACTTCCCCTCCCTCCTTCCACTCTGCAGGAGAAGCCCCTGCACAGCCATCTGCAGGGGGCACCCACCCTCCCTTCCTTGTGGCACAGATGCAGGGCGGGCCACGCCCACAGCCCAGTCCCACAGGCAACACAGCCAGGGCAGAAGCGCTGGCCACTTCTGGGATGAAGGTGTCCAGGACTCTGCCCTCCCCTAGGCAAGCTGTCCCTTGCTCTCTGCTCTATGGGTGGTTTGCAAACAGTGACTGCTGCTTTCCTTCCCATCTGGACCAGGGCCATTTGTGCTTGCGCCCAGGCAGCTCAGCCTCCCAGAGCCTTTCCGCATTCATCTGCCCTGAGTCTGCCAAGTCTCTCTCAGGGACACAAGGGGCGGGTGGGGGAAGGGTGGATAGACAAACACACCACAGTGGTGACCCCACAAAAAGGCTCCCACAGTGAGTCAGGGAGGGCTGAGTCACGGTGGGCAGGAGGCTGGGCTCCTAAGGGCTGGGAGGCAGGGAGTACCCAGGAGAGGGTGTGTGCTGCCAGGAGACATGAACCTGAGGGCTGAGGAGGTAGGGGCCAGCCCCCCAAGCCTGCTGTCTGTCCAGGATGTGAGTCCTAACTGAGCCCAGCTGTGTGAGCTCTGCGGGGGCTGGGTGGGGAGCTGGACTGTTACATGCAGGGACGGGGGACTTTCATGGTGTTGGAACAAAGCAGGAGGCCCTAGATGCAGCAGCTGGTGAGGTAGAAGTCCATCATGAACCTTGAGGTCAGGGCCCCTTTCCTTTCCTTGACTTAGAAGGCAAAGGACAGGGGAGAGCTGGCAGAGACCGGGAGATCCTGCTCTTCCTCCTTTTCATTTCAGGACAGTGAATCCAAGGTGATCAGAGGGACTATAAATTCCATCGCAATCTAAAGGTGGCTTTGGAGCCAGGCCTCTGGTTCCTGCCTATAATCCCAGCACTCTGGGAGGCTGAGGCAAGAGGATTGCAAGTTTGGGCCCATCCAGGGCAACTTAGAGACTTAGTGAGATCCTGCTGAATGTTGGAAAGACTTGAAGGGCGGGCTGGGATGCAGCGCGGCCCGAAGGCTCTGGGTTAGCCCCAGCACCACGCACGCCCACTCACGGATTTCGTGGCAATGGGTGGCTTGGTGGAAGCGTTGGCCCTGCATGAGCAAGGAGTTAGGGATGGCGCAGTCTTCATGGTGGTCACTGTCAACACCAACCTCCGGCCTTTCAGGCAGGGACACTGAGTGCCTGACTGGTGACAGGTAGCAGTTCTCTGTCCTCACACTCTGGCAGTGCCAGGAGAGTACTCTTTTCCATGCAGGGAGAGAAACTCTGGTGTTCAACAGTGTCCCCAAGTAAGCATGTAACTAAACCAGAGCAAGGTGCTTACGAGGCCCAGATGGCTCCTGGGCACGGGGCACGCACCTGATGTCCCAGCACTCACTTCTCATCATCAGTGATGAATTCCCAGCTTAGAATTTGCAGAGACTGACAGCAAAGAGTTTGGCTTAAGTTTGAGGGAACTTGGCTTTTACTTTTCAGAAATGATGGAATCCTGAGAACTTAAGCAACTCTTAGGAGGGACAAAATGATGTTGTTTTATAAATTTGTTGTCAGCTTCTGAAAGCAAAGTACAATACAATAATTCAGAGACTAAAAAAAAAAAAAAGAAAGAAAAGAAAAGAAAAAGAAATCCCAGCACTCATGAAGCTGAGGCAGGAGGATTCCTGCACGTGCAAGGCCAGCCTGCACTACATAGCAGTTCAAGACCAGTTTGAACTACACAGCAAGGCCTTGTCTCAAAATAAAATTAAAAGAAAATAATGTAATAAGTATAAGGAGAGCAATGTAAAGCACCAGTGCCGCCTTGCTGCGCCTATATCTAGATGTACCCCGAAGATCCCACGCACTCGTGGCTGGCGCGTGTCAGAGGGGGGGCTAGACCTAGCGCAGTGTGCCACACCTGTAGGTTGCGTGCTGCAGGGGGCTGTTGGAATCACGGAGAGCCTAAGAGGTTCTCCTTCACTGGTCCAGGGCAGCGCCAACCAATAGGCTTGGAGCTAAAGGAGGCAAAGGGAAGGCGGGGCTCCTGCTTGCCACCGCCCCCTGCCCTGCTGTGGACCATTTCTCCTCTGCCATGCCCCGCCTGGGAAGCATCCGACTGTTTATCAAAGCCTCCGCAAAGGGTGAGATAAAATAACTCTTCTTTTAACTTGGGTGTTGGGTCTGTTGTCCCAGCAATGAGGAAGTAACCAAGACACCTCTCAGCCGCATCTGCTATCTCCTTTGTCTGGGCCCGGGTCTCTCCGCTGAGGAGTTCTGGAGCGGTCTGAGCTGAGCCGCGTGAGCGCTGTGGGCAGCCCGAATCCCCTGGATGAACACAAGAATCATGCACTTGTCAGACTGAGTCTCAGGTGCTCCTGCCACTGGGCTGGCTCTGCGTGGCTGTCCTGTCACTTCGCAGAGCTCTGTCCCTTTTCTCCGTCAGTGGACAGGCTCACAACCTGGGCCTGAAGTGCACAGGTTTAATCACCATGGTGAAAGGCCGAAGTGCTGGCCTGGGGAGGCCTGTGGGTGTCTGCCACGGTAGGTGACAGGGGGATGGGGTGGGCATGAGGGCCACGCAGGGAGGGCAGAGAGGGGGATGGGGTGGGCACGAGGGCCACGCAGGGGGGGCAGGGAGGGGG